GATGATTCTTGACCCCCTTCAATCCAGGAAAATTGGGCAGAAACCTTTATAGAAGCCATGGAGATGTGCGTACATCACACTTAGTTTGCTTGGTATAAAAATGTTAGATAGCAGCGGGATAGTATAAAAGAAGAAAGAAAAAGCTATAATCTTGTTCAATATAGTTGTGTCTAGAGAGATTATATTTCTTCCCTCTTCACGACCGATGTACATGAGGTCCATTTTTCAAGTGGGTGACTTCACAAAACATGTTTTCTACTTCTCTAGATCTCCTCGTTCGCAATCAAGATCCCTTAAAAATGGTGCTTGCTCCAATACCAGTTAACAACTACTGCAGGATAGAATTTACTTATAAAGCCAGACTTGTAAGAATGAATTACTCAATATACGTATAAATCAGATTTACATGACAAAGTGACGGACAAACTTTTGAGCGAGTCGAATACAATACAAGTCATTAAACTCGCAAGGAGCACCAAAGAGAGGTGCATTATTTTTAGAGAGCAAACCAGAAGATTAATTATAAAGTGTAAAATGCAAATTCTTGTAAATAGAAGCTGTTAAGCTGTTAATAGATAAGCATTTTCCTATTGAGTGATGATATGGGTACATAATTTTTATCCATATGAGTTCACATAACACTCACATGGGGTATTCCTTCCTATTTCGTCCAGCAGGGCCCATGTAGTACTATTCACTTTTGGCAGCTAATGAAGTCCGGACCCGGATCGGTCCGGGTGGCCCAACTTCTAAATTATAGAGTCTTTGTCGTTCACACGTTTGCAAAGTAATCATACTGTTCTTGCTTATAACTTTGAGAAAATTGCAATGCTAGTCCCTAACCTTTAACGGTAGAATTTTATCCTCTAAATTTGTATCCACGGTTTCAATTTCGTCGTACAAATGGTTCTTGTAGACGCTTTTACTTCCACTTCTATTAAAAATAAATGTGTAATTATTGAGATTAACCTGCTCTCTTTTAAAGATTATTGTTGGGAATTCAATTCAGCAATGCATACTCTAACAGCATAATGACAAACACAATGTACAGCATCATACAGTTCTAGGCTCATTAAACCAATGACATCGTTCTCACAGCTCAAACTATCAATAATAGTTTGATAATCAATCTCAGAAATCAGCATTAACAATATGGTAATCAGACTATATC